AAGGGTCATATGGGTCAGATTAAGGGTCACGAGGGGACAATGAGGGTCAGATTAAAGGTCACGGGGGTCCATTTTGATGATATTTCAATTGATGATAGTACTATGACATGAAAAAATAGAAGAAGAGAATAATTAAAAAAATGATAATAAAAAAAGAAAACCCATTCGGAAGTAAATTGCTAATTTCTTAGCAACAATAACCACACTCATTTATTTAAAGAAGGCAATTGTCCGCTTGTTGTTTTTTATAATGAAGAGGTCATTGAAAAATGATAAGGTCAAGATATTTAATACGAAAAATAATTGAAAAAATGGTCCTGAATTGAAACTACTATCTAGTTATCAGTGACTTATTTTTCGAGTCTCATAAATCACCGGTTCATTTGCGGAGTGAGGGTGAATAGAGTGAAAAAGCTTCAAGGATTTTCAGAGGGTATTTTTTATTTCTTTGATGAATGAAAAGTTGAAAAAATGAAAAAAGAATAATTGAGGCAGAACAAATGGATGCTCACGAAATATTACAACGAAATGAAACGTCAAGCCCATTGTCAGGCGTGTATACAAACCGAGCGAGGAAATATCGTCCAGTAAATCAAGGTGGGCTCTCTCGGCTGGCTGGTGAACTGCGTTACCTCTTCCTGTCCACGTACTGGCCAAAAGCGACAAGCACTTCCGTTTTTAATCAGTTGTGTATATAGACTCGGTGAAAAAATTGTTGCATTAGAGGATATAATGTATGTTGAGCCAAAAAAATTATCATTCTGTTTGAGAAATTCAAATTTTTTCGAAGTTACGGTCAAGAATTTTTCACTCCCGAGATTTTAATGATAATTACGATTCAAGTCCTTCTAGAACACACTTTAGAGTGTGAATTTCTGCCCATACTGTTATCATTTTTTAGTTAGTTCACACGGTAATTCAATTAATTTGTTGTTCACCTCATCAATATAATTCCGTGCTTAGAATATTGTCATCTCGTGTTTTCAGCACCAAATTATATATTAAAACTTCATTTGGAATATTGAGTCACAGCTTCTTTTTATTCATATCAAAAATTTTGGATTTGGATATTAATATTATTTTTTTTAAGTGAAAAATCGATCATCATTTTCACTATATTGCATTCAGATTCTCCTATCCCTAACGTAAAAAATTAGGGATTATCTCATAATTCTAGCTATTAATTCTAATCAACTTTGTTCGAAGAAAACCTTAGTGAACGCAATATTCAGAAAGTAGAATTATTCTATTTTCCTCTGACCTAAATTATTTGGACAATTATGATTCGTTTATTCATGTTTACTCATGGTACAAAGGATAACGTATGTTGAGCAAATAAAAATTTATAATTTAATTTAAAAAATTCAAATTCTTTTCACTTTAATAATAAAGAATCCGAATTTTTTTAGATTATAATGAAGAATTTTTTCACTCTCTCGGGATGTTTTGTCTTCTCGTCAAAAAATTTTTTAATGTGAGAAAAATACACAGCACTGAATTCATGTGCTAGTGTAATCTTAGAGTTTACAACGGCAATATGAAAGTTAATGTCTCGAAACGCGTTTCAACAGCGTTTAACATGTCCGGATCCAATTCCCGAGGTATAATGGCACGTGCGAGATTTCTGCAACCGTAGCGGGTGAATTTTCGTGTGCTTTCGGGGGCGCAACGAATTCGATGCCGGGGATCCACTCCCTTCTATGTGACATTGTCATTATTCCGACGGAGAAGAAACAATTTGATACACTGTATGGCTTGTTGAGAAAAGTGACATGGGAATTATTATGTGGGAAAAAGTCGCTCGTTTCACATTTACAAATCGGTTTTTTATCTTTTATTCTTTCGCGGGATCACAACATTGTGAGAATTTTTTTCAATTATTTTTTTATGATACTTTAATGGTCGACGATCTTCTCATTTTTTTTGCGATTTGTTTTTCAATCCGGTCTTCAATGGAAAATTTTTTTTTGTAAAAAAAAATGTTTGCAAAAAATGAAATAACGAAAAAATTAAATGTTATTTTATTACTCCTCGTGTTACCCCAATATTTTCTCAATTTGAAATAAAGTAAATCTCCTTGGACGGTAATTTTTCCTCATTTTTTAAAAATTTTTTTTTATAAAAAAAGTTTTTTTTCTCAAAAAAATAAAAACATTTCCGTTTAAGGACATTTATTCTATTTTAAATAGAGAAAATAGTGGGGCAAAACGGGGCATAATAAAATCAAAATCATGGGAATGAATTTTGCAAAATTATTTTTTTGTAAAAAAATTTTTTTGCTAAAATATTTAAAAAAATAAATAAAAAAAAACGTAAAAATTTCCGTCCAGGACATTTACTCAATTTCGAATTTAAAAAACCTGGGGCAAAACGGGTTCTGCGAAAATAGTAATTATAATTGTAATCAAGATCACAAAATCATGAAAATAAAAAAAATCCTTATTTTATTTAGTGAAATTCATTTTTTAATTTCATTTTTTATTAAAATTTTTTTTTGTAAAAAAAAAACAGACGGAAAAATTATCATCTTAAAAATTGATTCAATTCTCCAATTATATGGTATTTAATAACTCCGATATCTAGATGAGGGTATCTTTTACTAAAGGCGCAAGGTTAATTAAAAAAAAAATTTCCATTTCAAAACCGATAAAAAAAACTGGGGTAAAACGGACTATGATAAAATAAAAATTATAATCATAATTGTTAATGAGAAATTTTTGCAATCCACCATATTTTCCCCGCTCCATAAAACCATTTCAATCCCATTATAAAACCCACAAATACCGTTAAACCTGCGACGTCTGACGTGTTGATAGTACGAGAGATAGATAATTGCCAGTTGTCATCTGTAGCCCCAATAACCTTTATGCTTGGCATTGGTTGGGCGTGTGGTAGCACAGCGATCTTATTTATCTTTATGGAGCACGGCCAGAGGGTAAGTATACTTACCGCCGTCCCCTCCCTAAACCGGGGATTCCCCGGCGTGAGTGCGATAGACACTCACCTATTTTTCCATGAGGATTAGATATCGGTTGAGCTCCAAATCGCGTTCAAAACTCTGGCAATTTATTTTTTTTATTTTTAATAAGTGTGAGAAGCCGTCAGTGCCGATAGCCCCCCTCCGCGCCGCTGACAATTTATATAACACCGATAATAATCTTCCTCTCGTGCCCCCTCACAGTTTCAATAAGCCGCAAAACGGCAAGAAGAAGATGGAGAATGGTCAGAAATTAATATCTGCTCTCGTAGTAATCGGATTTTCAGTGATTTAACGGTTCTTGCCAAGAGCGCCTGTCGTCCGTTGTCATATAGCCCCTCTTCAAAACCCCCGGAGTGAGAGAGAGAGAGGGAGAAGTTTTGGCTGAGTTACTTATACCGAGAAGTGCCCGAAGAGGGGTTGAAGAAAAAAGATACTAAACTACTCCTTTCACATATCAAATCTTCTTTCTTTACTGCCTCAATAAAACCGAAAATAATACCCCCCNAAACCCAAAAAAATCCCCCCCCCCCCCCCCCTACAAACACTCTCAGATATAATATTTTATTATTTATTCTCATAATTCATATTTTAACAACGACGGTCTACATACTGGATGAGTAATAATATTTACAATGAATTATGTACAATGATTTGATTGAGCGAAAGAATTTTCAATAATTCAGCAGCGAAGCGGTAAAACGGTTCAGGTTTTCAATAAATATCTCGGAATCTAAGGCAAGTACAAAAATTTTCGTCAATATCTTTTTTGTAGCTCTTGACTTGCTCTGCAGAAAAGCTTATTATGAAAATTTCGCTGTCTCCATTATTGAACGACTTCCAGCCAATTTACGGTCACAAGCAAGCAAAAATACGAAAACTTCTAGCTTGAAAAAATTAAAATCTTCCCATTTTTTCAATTTTGCCGACGTTTCATGTGCTATATGCACACTTCTTTAAAACAACAAAATTTCGAAACAGATGTGAACTTTAAAAAAAAAACTTGTTTTACTATTGCCCCTATTGTAAGAATGACCAAAATTTTTCCGCAATCTCCTTTAGACTCGGAGATATTCATCGAAAACTCAGCTAATAGCCAAGTCGACAAACAGTTTCACCGCATCGCTACTGAGCTATTGAAACGATAAATAAAATATGAACAAATTTAACAAAAAATAAGTCTTAACTAGTCCTTAATTCTAATATTACAGCATTATCGAATGACGTCTTTTGTAATTGGAAGTAGTCGCTGATTCCGTCGGAATGATAAATTTGTCCGGTGATTTAACAATGCTGACGGCCCCGAGAGAAACGGAATCATCGAAATTGTCGGGGGGTGAGATAAAGAGAGAGACGACTTCGGGATCAACCGGGAAATACGAGGGTGGCGAGAGAGCAAGCGGGGTCGACTGAGGTCGCGACGTATTTAAAACCCAGATGAGATAGATAGAGTGTGGCGAATAATCGTGGGTACCAGTTTGCTAACCGTATAACACAACCAAGTATAGCCTAGCGCGACCCGAACGATTCAACGTTTCAAGTTAAATGGGGTGCGAATGGCAGATAACAAACCGGCACTGTTTCCGATTACGGCATTTCATTGTTTCCTACCATTATGCGTGCTCCGGTGGTTTACGTGTGACGCGAGTTTACGGTTTACGATACGTCGATTTGAAAGAATGAAAAAAAAAAAAAAAAAAAAAAATTTGCAACGCGATTTATCGGATACGGATTTGAGAGACAAATCCCTCGAGATTCGAATGAGCATTGCTCGTTTTTTACTAGCAATACATTGTTTCGCTATTTACCTAGACCTACTTTAATGTTAATCCTCCTAATATTGACTAGAGAGAGAGCCCTCTGGTGATCATCACATATCGACACAGTCCATACATGACAAACCTTCAAAATATTCGTAACACTATGATTCGTATATTCTATGAGAATACGTTTTTAGCTGATGAATGTCGAGTTCATTGTTGTTATTTTACTGGAAGTAGTTTTGGATTTTGGTTAAATAATGTCACTTTGCACCGTGAATAACTGGCAGTCCCGCGGTTCGTCGTTTGACGCTGCCTGATTGCACCTGTGGAAGCTGCTGAGGATCCATGGAATCGCTCGCCTTGTCCTGATGAGCTGTCATGTGTCTGGTCAGGTGATGCCTTTCCCGAAAGCTCTCGTCGCAGACAGGACACCGGAGCTTCTCCTCCCTGCGTCTTCTCGCGGCCTCGCCGGTACCTTCGTTCTTGTGATGAGACCGCATGTGATAGACGAGGTCAGATGTCATCCGGAAGGACAGATTGCACTTGGCACAGACGTTCTGAGCTGGTAGACTCAGAGCGAAGGACGGCGGTAGGAGACCGGTCACACCGAACAAGTGGCGAGGACGCGTGAGAGCTTCTGCCATCGGTGCAGACGGAAACACTGATATCGGTGCGTAGGACAGGTTAGAGTAAACAGCAGCGGCCGCTGGCGACAGCTCCGACGCGGTGCGAAAGCCTGAAGGTTCCACGGAGTTTGAGATTTTTCGGATTTTGAGATTTCCACCGAGAGACAGATTATTGGTCACTGTTGCGGTTGCCGTTGTGGTTGCGGTTATGGGTGTCACACTTTCCGGAGAACTTGAGATGAATGGATATGGGGTAGATGCGGCTGCTGCCGCGGCAGCCGCGGCCGCTGCGGCCACCGCAGCGAAGGAGCCGTACTTGAAGGTCGCTGTCTTGATGGGACAGGACGATTGCAACGGTGGAGTTCTTCTTGGCGGACTGATGCTACTCCGATAACTGCCGCGATCCGGCGATATCGATGATCGCGGTGAACTGCGTGACTCATCGAAACTGCTTACTGAACTGACTTTAGTGAAAGCACTTCGCGAACTTGTCAGCTCTTCCGCGTGATGATGTCCTGGCGGTGGATGACCGGTTGTGAAACTACGGTAACAGGTATCACCGGATGGGCTCACTGGTTGTCCAAAGTCAGGACTGTGAGAAGTTTCTAGCTGATTGTAATCGCTCTGACGTCGGGCCAATTTTTCGTCCGGAGCAACTAGGAAAGCTACATCGAAGGATCGCTTTCCGGTTGTTCGGCGGAGTGGATAGGAGGCGTCCGTCGTTATTCCACTTGCTGCTGTTGCTGTTGTACCTGCATCACCTGGACGATCGATGCCTGGTCCCGAGCGATCTTCCATTGTCATTGTGACAACGACAATCGCCAGTCAAATCAGTCTTATCTGGAAGAACAAGCGAAACCGCTGAAGCGATTGCGACCAAATTTGGTGGTGATCAGCGAGTGAAATCCAACTGTCGTCTTACCTTGATATTGAACAAACGTGGACGGTGATATGAGTAATGAGTGCTGACTGTCGGAGACGACCCGAGGTCGTGGACGGACCACGTTTGAATGATTCAACTCGGTAAACGCATCTTGGTATTGTAGCCCCAGAAGGGGGTTATTCAGCTGCTGCTCTATAGCACAACTAGTCGGTTTCGCGTCGAACGACAGGTGGAGAGAAGCTCCCAGTCAGAGGGTGGTTTTGAAGCGGTTGTTGAGGGGCCAATGGTAGCACAAACCGAGCCCACTCGAGGGTGGAGCCATATAGCCCCGTTGTAGTTTCCGCGCATATCTGTATTTTCAGTGGGGGGATGAAACGAATACCAAGGGGAAGAAGGAACGAGGACGCGGGAACATATTCAGCTGAGTCGGGATGCGTCTGCTAGCTCCAACAACTGAGGCCACGCCTACATATTTCAGGTTCGACACATGTGCAACCACACCACCCCACTTCTATACCCTTTCCTTCTAGGTTATTGCTGAAGTGAGGTATACGGGTATTCATTGCGCCCTCTGTGCTGCGCAGAAAATAGGGTATACTTGTTATAACCACTTTGCCTTCCGGCAATTCAAGGTAGTGTTGTCTCACTTACACACCACTACCCTCCTCACACCCCCATATTTCATCCTGACGAACGATCGAAAATATATTTTCATCGTTGCTCCCGGCCAATTTTTTCATCCTTTTCCATCCTCTATTTTTGGATTTTTCTCTCAATGCTTGACTAGATCCTCTTTTTGGTTTCCTTCATCATTTCTGAATTAGAGCGATTCACAGATGCGATTGGAGAGGATCAATCAATCAGGGTTTTCTCGCGATCCTTCAACTTCTTCTCGAATTGGTTTTCTTGGCTTCGCTCACGCCGTGTCGTCTTGTTTCTCATCAACTTGGGAATTGAAGTTCCTTCGTACCGAGATAATTAAACTCGTTCACATTTTTCAGTTGAATCATCAGTGTGCGTAACTAGAGGGTGCTTCTGCTATGAGCATTAAGACAAAATCCTTATCTCGTAATAGTTATAACGAAACCGAGCCGAGGGGAAATGGCGTATTATTATGCGTTGCGTGAACGCTTTTTGAAACAGATAATCGGCAATCAGGTGGGTTGAGTTGGTGAAGCGCGTGCTCGAGATAAACGGGTACATGGAATGCAATTTGGCAAATACCATCATTCTGCGGTATCACTGGTATAAATTATTCAGGAGCAAAGTGGCATGTGAAATCTACACGTTATTTCTGAGGGCGCGGGGGTGAGAATCTTTCTTTATTAGTGAGTGAATGGAATTTTTGAATTTTTACGGGGAGATATTCAAGGAGTTGGGGACAAAAAAAAGGGGGCAAAAATTGGAGAGAAGCGTATATGCACGACAGCAAGTTATTAGAATGGCCCGGAAAAGATGGCGCAGAGTCGTTCCGTATTTTTATACTGTATGGCCGGTACTTTGCATAATCCCGCACTTAGCTCGCTCGTCGCGAAATGCTGCCATCGTTCCGCTCTCTCTCGCTCCTCTGCTCTCTGGGCTCCTTCTCCTCCGGTAAGCAACACTACTACTCCTTCCGTCCTCCACTCTTCTTACTCACTTGAAACTGCTTGTGCACCACCCGCACCATGTCGCGGTGATGCCAACCGTGACCAACATACTCTGTTTTTCGGGGGGCAGATGCGACTTAATCTCGCTGTTGAAGGTGAAACGGACGACGCTTATTAATAATTATCATTAATGGGGGATGGCGGTGCAGAGGGGGAAGGGGGGGGGGGGGGGGGAATCAAGTGAGGTATCAGAATTCGCGTTGTCATCAATCTCTTGGAACAAATCGATTGGGGACGCTTGCGACGTTATCCGCAGATGTGACTTTGATTCGCTCTTCCGGCATCTCCCATGAGATCGCAACTCTCTGGTCTCGATTAAGACCGCTACGAGTTGTGTTTCACCTCTCCATCAAAATCTCGTCTACGAGATGTCGATATTTTTTTTGGTGGATTGTCGGGGGATTTTTTTTTTGGCGCTGGGATTTGTTTTCAATGAGAGGTATTGAGTCATCTAGGAAATTGTTGCATTCAATTCAATCGGACGGAACCATTTGGAGTACTCGCTTGCTCTCCCGCGTGACACTGATGATCTTTTGAATGATATTTTCGATTTTACAAAAAAAAATGCGCAACAAATGCGCAACATTTTGATAACATTTTAACTGTCGATAGTAATATGACATGAATAAATAGAAAAAGGGAATAGTGAAATAAGAATTGAAAAAAGAGAACCCATCCGAAAGCAAATTGCTAATTTATTAGCAACTATAACTATACTCATTTATAAAAAAATGCAATTGCCCACTTGTCTTTATTCGTATTTAGTTCCTACCACCGTTAACGTTTTATAGGCTCCCCATTTCGTCTTTATGCCTTTTCTCCCACTTTTCTCTTCATATTTATCTGCGTTATGTATCTGAGAAACCATAGAAAACCTCAGTCGTACAGCCGGCCGATATTGCAGGGTCCTAACGTGCCCATCCCTCACCCTCACTAGATGGGTACAGCAGTTCTCTACATATCCGACTGGCGGCAGTAGTTCCGCCCGAGAAGATGGGGCTAGCCGGACACCCATCCAAATCTTAACCAGACTAAAAATGTAAAAAATCTGATAAAGAGTAGATAGAGCGTATTCCTTACGCTGCCCTCAATACTTGGTGAACATTTCAGCCATTTATATTGGATACAATCGGAGGAAATTGGGATGAAAAAAAAATTTTGACGACCGCTTCTGTTACCCCATAACCACTGTTATTGAATATATGAGGCAAAATAACTCGATTGTATGTAGAAAGTTCTATGTTTGAATGTGTGTGTTTCGGGCCTATGGGCCTGAGTCCTTCACACCCCCACTTAAGGGTTTCAGAGAAATTTTCCGTCCACAGAGCCATGTGTTGTTGCCTTGGTGACAAAGAGGTCTGAGGTCGGTTTTCGTGAAAAGTCTGTAGAGTTAGTTAGTTACGTCGGAGAGACTGAGGAGTGAGGACCTTAAAATAAAAACTTCTCTTCCTTCAAAACCTGTGTCTTTTAATTGAATTACCCTGGCTCTTACCCATAATTACAATAACTGTCGCTCGATTTGATCTTGTATTGGGCTCGCTAAATAAGAAAACGCCACCTGGGCTCTAAGGCGTACGGACACTCACACACACAACACAACCAAATTTTGGGTTTGTGTAGGCGCGTATATGAGCGCCTTAGAGCGACCATATTGACGAAAAACAGCGCCCTCAACGGTATTTAGCGAGTCCAATTGGGATCTTTCGTAGGGGCGTGGCCTGGTATTTGGCCGTCTGGTGGCCAACTGCGAAAGTAACGCAACCAGGATGCTGGTCAGCTGGCCCATTTACCCTTTATTTATCCTCGGAGTAAACTCCATGATTAATAACACTCGATTATGCAACAATAAATTTTACGCATTCCACTGCACCGTAACAAAATGCCTTCGATTGCGAGAGTTAATGATCAATTACTTCAAATAATAATGAAAAGTTTCATTAGCTTCATACAGCTGACAGTTTCGCATCCAAGTTGGAGAGGTGCTCAATTCAGCCACCAGAGCGCGTCTCTTAGCGCAAGAGATCCCAATATTCTTTTCAGAGCCCGAAGAAGCTAAAATATTTAGCGTGGCATCACAACGTGTGAAGATGAACAGAATCGCAAAAAAAATTAATATCAATTTTTGCTGGTGCTCCATGCTACCCTCCATTCAATTCTCGTTTTTTCCTGCATGACTCTTGAAACGATTTTTTTTCCACTGATTATAACTATTGAAAGTGAATGTATGTGGGGTATATATGTGATGGGTGACAATGAAACACGATTTCTACATGCGGCTACGTCAGACATATGGTCGTCGGTCCCCAGTGATCGAAGCCATGGAGTCCTCATGAGTTTTCAATGAGATTAGCGGGCCATCTGTGCCCAGCTGTCCACAGTAGCTTATGAGGGATATATATACGTTCATAAAGAACACACTGGGGGTCATTCAACAATGATGGCCTCAACCTGCTATACCCACTTCGTCTATTTATTATTTTTTTTCTCTCTTTTCTGAATGAGACAGGTCTTACACTGGTGCGTAATTGTGAATGGAGGCGAGTGTACAGGTACCTTCATGAAATGAGAATCGAGGGATTCTAGAGGGGGGGTCCTTCCATTTGTGGGCAGGATTTTTAGGTGGCGATGGGGGCAGAACAGCTCGCATATGGAGACTGACGTGCATATGCTATGGTAAGCTACAACATGCTGCTATTAGCGGGGAGTATCTGGTCGGAGGACCCTGTTGGTGACGACTTTGATGGATAAAAAAGTCACGGAGTCATTCGTAGGACGAAATATTCTCTAGTGACTTTGTCAACTCTTTGTTATGTAATAGAAATAAATTTACGTTAGGCTCGTCACACAGGGAAAGAATTCAGTAGCGAAGCGGTAAACCGGGTTAAGTCGATTTTGACTTTTGGGAATTTTTTGACAAATATCTCGGAATCTAAGAGAGATAGCAAAATTTTGTTCATCACCTTTTTTATAACCCTCAGTTGGCTCTACAAAAAAGGTCATGACAAAAATTTTTCTATCTCTTTTAGATTCCCAGATATTCGTCAAAAACTGGCCAATAGTCAAAATCGACTTAACCCGGTTTACCGCTTCGCTACTGAATTGTTCTTTGTATTGAAAAAAAAAATTATCAAATTTTATCAACATTTCAACCCCTCATTAACATTTTTAAAAAAGTCAAAAGTGTCCGTTTTACCCCAACCTCCCCTAACAGTAAGTGCTCTCTCAAAAGAGATTCTAAATGCAGATTTTTGTGGACCGAAACAAGTCATACG